ATTTTGACGATTTCCACTATAAATTGTAAGACAATAACCCCATGTTCATATTCAACGTTGAAAATTAACCCCAGAACATTTTGACGATTTCTACAATAAATTGTCAGAAAATAGCCAAAGATTCATATTCAACGTTGAAAATTAACCCGGGAACGTTTTAACGGTTCCCACTATAAAATTGTCAGACGATAGCCCAAGGTTCATATTCATCGTTGAAAATTATCTCCGGAACATTTTGACGATTTCCACTATAGATTGATTGTCAGAAAATAGCCCAGGATATATATTCATCGTTTAAAATTAACCCCGGAACATTTTCACGATTTCCACTATAAATTGTCAGAAAATAGGCCCAGGTTCATATTCAACGTTGAAAATTAATCCCAGAACATTTTGACGATTTCCACTATAAATTGTCAGAAAACAGCCCAAGATTCATCTTCATCGTTGAAAATTTAGCCCGGAACATTTTGACGATTTCCACTATAAATTGTAAGACAATAGCCCCATGTTCATATTCAACGTTGAAAATTAACCCCAGAACATTTTGACGATTTCTACAATAAAATGTCAGAAAATAGCCCAAGATTCATATTCAACGTTGAAAATTTAGCCAGGAACATTTTGACGATTTCCACTATAAATTGTAAGACAATAACCCCATGTTCATATTCAACGTTGAAAATTAACCCCAGAACATTTTGACGATTTCTACAATAAATTGTCAGACAATAGCCCAAGGTTCATATTCAACGTTGAAAATTAACCCGGGAACGTTTTAACGGTTCCCACTATAAAATTGTCAGACGATAGCCCAAGGTTCATATTCATCGTTGAAAATTATCTCCGGAACATTTTGACGATTTCCACTATAGATTGTCAGAAAATAGCCCAGGATATATATTCATCGTTTAAAATTAACCCCGGAACATTTTCACGATTTCCACTATAAATTGTCAGAAAATAGGCCCAGGTTCATATTCAACGTTGAAAATTAATCCCAGAATATTTTGACGATTTCCACTATAAATTGTCAGAAAACAGCCCAAGATTCATTTTAATCGTTGAAAATTTACCCCGGAATATATTTTCACGGTTGCCACTATGAAGTGTCAGACAATAGCCCAATGCTCATATTCATCGTTGAAAATTATCTCCGGAACATTTTGACGATTTCCACTATAAAGTGTCAGAAAACAGCCCAAGATTCATTTTAAGCGTTGAAAATTTACCCCGGAATATATTTTCACGGTTGGCACTATGAATTGTCAGCCAATAGCCCAATGTTCATATCCATCGTTGCAAATTACCCCCGGAACATTTTGACGTTTTTCCACAATTCAAACAGTAGCCTAATGTTCATATTCAGCGTTAAAAATTATCCCTGGAAACGTTTTGACGGTTTCCACAATAAATTGTCTGACAGTAGCCCAATGTTCATAGTATACGCTTGAATTTAACATCGGAACATTTAGACGGATTTCCATGTCAACCAATAGCCGAAGGTTTTTATTCAACGTTTAAAATTAACCCCGGAACATTTTCACGATTTCCACTATAAAGTGTCAGAAAACAGCCCAAGATTCATTTTAAGCGTTGAAAATTTACCCCGGAATATATTTTCACGGTTGCCACTATGAATTGACAGACAATAGCCCAAGGTTCATATTCAAAGTTGAAAACTCGGATTTTGACGGTGTTCCAATGTAAAGCGTCAAATAATAGCCCAAGGTTCATATTCTTCGTTGGAAATTAACCCCGGATCATTGTGACGATTTCCCCTATAAATTGTCTGACAGTAGCCCAATGTTCATATTCATCCTTGAAAATTATCCCTGGAAACGTGTTGACGGTTTCCACTATAAATTTTCAGACAATAGCCCAATGCTCATATTCATCGTTATTAATTATCCCTGGAACATTTTGACGATTTCTACAATAAATTGTCAGAAACCAGCCCAAGATTCATCTTCATCGTTGAAAATTAGCCCTGGAAACGTTTTGACGGTTTGCACAATCAATTGTCAGACGATAGCCCAAATTTCATATTCACCGTTGAAAATTATCTCCGGAACATTTTGACGTTTTCCCCTATAAATTGTCTGACAGTAGCCCAATGTTCATAGTATACGCTTGAATTTAACCTCGTAACATTTAGACGGATTCCCATGTCAAACAATAGCCGAAGGTTTTTATTCAACGTTTAAAATTAACCCCTGAACATTTTGACGATGTCCCCTATAAATTGTCTGACAATAGCCCAATGCTCATATTCATCGTTGCAGATTATCCCCGGAACATTTTGACGATTTCAACTATAAATTGTCAGTAAATAGGCCCAGGTTCATATTAAACGTTGAAAATTAATCCCAGAATATTTTGACGATTTCCCCTATAAATTGTCAGACAATAACCCAATGTTCATATTCACCGTTGAAAATTATCCCGGGAACGTTTTAACGGTTCTTATTATAAAATTGTCAGACGATAGCCCAAATTTCATATTCACCGTTGAAAATTATCCCTGGAAACTTTTTGACGGTTTCCACTATAAATTGTAAGACAATAGCCCAATGCTCATATTCATCGTTATTAATTATCCCTGGAACATTTTGACGATTTCCCTTATAAATTGTCAGACTATAGCCCAATGTTCATAGTATACGCTTGAATTTAACATCGGAACATTTAGACGGATTTCCATGTCAACCAATAGCCGAAGGTTTATATTCAACGTTGATAATTAACCCCTGAACATTTTGACTTTTTTTCCAATATAAATGGTCAAACAGTAGCCCAATGTTCATATTCATCCTTGAAAATTATCCCTGGAAACTTTTTGACGGTTTCCACGATAAATTGTCAGACAATAACCCAATGTTCATATTCAACGTTATAAATTAACCCCGGAACATTTTCACGATTTCCAAAATAAATTGTCAGAAAATAGGCCGAGGTTCATATTCAACGTTATAAATTAACCCCGGAACATATGTACTGTTTTCAAATATACATTGTCAGATAATAACCCAAGGTTCATATTCTTCGTTGGAAATTAACCCCGGATCATTGTGACGATTTCCCCTATAAATTGCCAGACAATAGCCTAATGTTCATATTCAACGTTGAAAATTAACCCCTGAACATTTTGACGTTTTCCCCTATAAATTGTCTGACAATAGCCCAATGCTCATATTCATCGTTGAAAATTAGCCCTGGAAACGTTTTGACGGTTTGCACAATCAATTGTCAGACGATAGCCCAAGGTTCATATTCATTGTTGAAAATTATCTCCGGAACATTTTGACGTTTTTCCACAATAAATGGTCAGACAATAGCCTAATGTTCATATTCAGCGTTAAAAATTATCCCTGGAAACTTTTTGACGGTTTCCACAATAAAGTGTCTGACAATAGCCCAATGTACATATTCATCGTTGCAAATTACCCCCGGAACATTTTGACGATTTCCCTTATAAATTGTCAGACTATAGCCCAATGTTCATAGTATACGCTTGATATTTAGACTCGGAACATTTAGACGGATTCCCATGTCAAACAATAGGGAAACTTTTGACGATTTCCACTATAAATTGTCTGACAGTAGCCCAATGTTCATATTCAACGTTGAAAATTAACCCCAGAACATATTTCCTGTTTTCAAATATACATTGTCAGATAATAACCCAAGGTTCATATTCAAAGTTGAAAATTCGGATTTTGACGGTTTTCCAATGTAAAGCGTCAAATAATAGCCCAAGGTTCACGCAGCAATAAGTTTAAAGGGACAGCAAGGTGAAGCATATCTTTTTTCATTCTTTTTTTAAACACTACATTAACATACCAACTGAGTCTCCTTCTGAAAAATAACGGTCGGATTTGGCTGATATATATTCATTAAAATGAGTAACTTTAAGATAATTATCGGGATTTCTACCTGTCTGATCAACGTTTTGTTCAAGGATATCCCTCTACTAGCGCATGCGTATAGCACACCATTTCATTGTAAACAATATGACTGGCCGTGGGAAGTTAGATTGTGACCGTGTCAGCTACGAAGCGAAAAGCTGCCAAATGGTCCAAAAATAGCGCAAGGAGTAAGTTACGGAAGCATTATTGCAGGTGGGAAGTATTCAAAGGAGAAAATAACTGCCCTAGCAGTTAGTACGGTGCATGCTTTCTTCCCGATAGCCGGTTAAAGCTGAAATGGAATCGACAGAAATGCTGTTTTTGTTTTGAATAAAAACCTAAAACTGGTAGCCTCGCTAGTAGCTATGTCTCATTTCTAGGAGGGTCTCCCGCATAGGTCGCCTCTCACGGCATGCTTTTGGTAACAGCAGGTCTGTTCTGAATCGACCTCTCAGGTCGGACGAGCTGCCACATTATTTAATTTGTTTACGTTCTCAATGTATCTACCCAGTCGATCTTTCTGTATTCGTATTATTACATGGTTAATGGCCCATCAACACAGGATAGGTCATTAGGGCCAACAAATAGTCTGATCTTTCTGTATTAGTATTATTACATGGTTAATAGCCCATCAACACAGGATAGGTCATTAGGGCCAACAAATAGTCTGATCTTTCTGTATGGAATGGATATGCCGACCGATGCAATGGATATATAGTGAATTGTCCTGAAAGGGTCCCATTTTTATTTTCAATTAGTCGATGGGACGATTGACAGTAAGCTTCAAAGAACATGGTGGATAGCTTTGAGCCAATCGCTGAAGTGACCAAGATTGTTGGGAGTGTTGCCAAACAAAAAAAAACAACACTTTTACTGTCAATACATACAGAATACAACAATATGTTTTAGAATGTAATTTTAAGGAATGAACGACGTCTATGATAAGTTTATACAAGTGTGAAAGCAAAAAACTATACATTCATACCATAATCAATAGTTCATAAACTGGTGTTCAATTTCAAATTCAAGTTTTAATAAAAAATGGAGAATTCCTTTTGTTTTCTAACGCAAAAAAAATAACTTGATGTACAGGCATTCTGGAGGTGCAATGGCCAATCTGGAGAGGCTATGAAGTATGGCGGTCCTAGTGACGTAAGCGGGTGTGACGTAGGCCCTCTGTCCGGTGTGTGCGATGCAACAACTCCGAAAGGAAGTCCCGCGCTGGTGGCGTTCTTGTCGGGAGATCAAGCTATACAATGGAGCAGACAGAAAGTGGGTATTGGTTTTGATTTTGTGTTGGTTTACGGTCAGTCGTTCATGCAAGTCATTTAGGGCAAGACAACACGGTAAACATGCATATTTTAATTGAAAGAATCTGCACGTAGTAAACCTTTCATGGACGGTGCATTATAGAATCTGTCATGTATTTGTTTATTATTATCGCATTCAATCATGAAATGTTTTACTTTCAAATGTTGATCAAATGCTTGACAATAAGGTTGACCTTCCCTACTTAAAATGTAACCATGCGTAATATATAGGTATGGTCCATGTGTAGTCGCGAGAGGATAATTTCCTCTCTGAGATATGATATACCTGTTGCAAATGAGCCTTCATTAGGTTGAATTGCAAATTACCATACGGAGCATTACTTTTATATAAGTTGCTATGAAAGATTTAAAATCATATTATGGCAGTTTAGTACCTTTCGTTTGTAGTCTTCTTATTCTGACATGACCGGGTTTCCAGACTGAGATAAATCTTGTGGCAGAATACTACAATCCTGTTAATACGAAGGGCGATGTTTTGCATGAGAACATTGTCAAAGTTCCGACTTTTTAATATTTGTAGTAGCGACAACAAAACAGAACAGAATATTGCTTTTTTCATTTCATTCTTTTCAATTTCATCACATTACAACCCAGCTGCAATTGCTTTAGTTGTAAAATGTAAGAATTTGAGGGCAAACGACAGGTTGCCAACAACACATACTGCAGCAAGTTCCTTTGCGACCTTAGAGCTGTTTATATACAATTGTGTGTAAAAGAAACTGTGGGATGAATTGAACGGAAGAATGCGAGATTTTTCAAAACCATAGTCACACTTTGAATCAATGAGCGACGTAAACTAGCAGTAGGTCACGGTCTGCTTATCAATCTGTCTGGACAATAGATACATGAGAATATTTAGAGCTTTCGAGCATTTTTCTTTCAAATATTTTTTATGACGTAGAAAAGACAATTTTAGGTCGAAAATAAGAAATTGTATTTGTTGAATAGCGTAACAGAGATCATGGTGTACGTTTTGGTGGACGCAGCAACAACTACGAAAAAAAGTTATAATTACTGTCTGTCAGCTGATAAAATTACTCTTATGGCCCGAATGTTATCGCACCTGTGGGCCTTATTGTGGGAGGAAACCGGAGTACCCGGAACAAAACCTTAAATTATTCGAATTTATACAATGCAAACAAAATCGCACCTGCTCACACTCGTACTTTTACCCTCGTAAAGGGATCTTCAGGTTTAAAATTATAATACATCATACCGTTACGAACTGACAAATCATAATCCTAATACTTAGAATAGGCATTGGTTTGTTCCCAATTTCATTGAATCCTCATCTGTTATACCCGACCCTCCCGTTTCAGGCTCACACAAGGAAAAACGCAGTTTTAAAGTCATCGACTGATTTCTTCGGGTCGCAAGCGGAAACCTGCCTGGATTACTTTGAGAAGGACTGGAGTGAAGAGCTATTCATAGAGGGCGCTTTAGCAGCAGTCAGTACAGGAGCACTGCGAAACTTTGCTGCTGGTCTCCAGGAACCGCAGGGGAGGTCACTATCGTCTCGTATTTGTGTTTGCCTAACAGAAACCTCTGGGAAGGTTCAATGAAAGTGTGATTGTATAAAACTATAGGGAGACAGAGTGTGTTGCACAGTTGTCTCTCTACAGGACCCCTAGTGGGAGGGGATTGGGGTTATTTTACTACATGTTGAAGTTTCGATATTTACCAGGGGAGACTATTCATAGTGATATCGAGCTGTCTGTGTATGGGAACCTTGGGGGAGGCAATATGTCGTCAAAACACACTCAGAGAAAATCAGGGAATAAGTTAACTAATATTGTGTTGTCTCTTCTGTTTTGATTTGGATTTAACGTTTATTATTTAACTAGAAACCTGCAGGGATATTTGGTTTCTCAAATAGTGATGTATTCGCAGTACATGCTTCGCTTTCCCAAATTACTTCAACCTGGATAGGAAACAGTGTTATAGTATACAGTATGCTATAAAATGTTGACATTCTTAGCTAACGTAATGGGCAGATTTATTAAATAATCACTTATTAATATAACAAATTGACAAAGAAATTATCTTTTGATTACGAAATTAATTTAATCAAAATGAAGACTACACTTTGCCGGCGCTGATGGCGCCATAGAATGGGATGGGTACATGTCCGGCGGGGTCCAGGCCGGGATACGTGCAGCAACGGAAATATTACATCAACTCCGGCCCGGCTCCGTCTCCAGTGCAGAACTGTCCGGGACAGCTTACAGTCCTTCATACAAAGCACCACAGCATCTAAGAAGAAAAGTGAAACAATCTGACATGACTAGAGGTTTGAGCTTCGCCATTTTAGTAGGCGTTATTGCGCTGCTGTATGGAAGTTTGTATCGTTAATTTGATATGATTATTATTTTTACTAAACCACCAATTAAACAGTTGTTTTGGTGGTAAGCTGCATTATTCCGTTCAGACAGTTTTACTGCATCTCAAACATTTCACATGGTTTCTTTTTCTTAATGATATCAATCATAACTATGCGTACCAGATAGGGTTGTGTTGCCATGTCCAGGTTACAACATTTCAGTAAGATGTGCTCGAGCCATCTGCTGACAACGTTGAAAACGTCTCTGTGCGATTTTATCGTCTTTGAAGATGTTAAAACCCTTAACAATTCAGAAAACGTATTGTATGTTCGCATATGTATGCGTTGGAATACTGTTTTTTAACGCTTTTGTATTTCATTGTTATAATAGATCATTTTGATTGAAAATCGATATTGTACATGATCTGTAGTAAGTGTTATTGATCACGTAGTAATTCAATGACGTCATTAATGTCTAAAATGTAAACCGTTTCCGGAGGAATTAAGATAAAATGCAAAATTAATGTAAATATTTAAATTATACAAACCAAAAAAACAGGAGCGTAGAGCGTTGAAATCAGTGAGTCTTCGGATTATTTAAGTCTCTGTACCCGTATCTTTGTCATTCTCAACCAGTTCATGTCGCCGACAGATAACGTAATACAATTTACAGAGTATTAATATTATTGTGTATTCTTTCACATTGTTTTTACGCTTGTAATTCACAATATTGCCTTTTAATATGCTTAAATCATTGAAATTACAATAAATCTGTTTAAAACATCATTTTGTCAACAATTTCTTTTCATGTATTTAATACATCAAATATACATTTTTCTGAGTTATTGTTAAACAGGAAACCAAAGATTTATTTACAAACTTGTTGACGTTTTACTAACAGTCTGTTATGTACTACTTGGGTTAAAATTCCTCCTCTTGGTATAATGTATATAAGTGACGACAAAATGAAACACCATGACATGTCAACAAGATCACAAGAACAAACACATTATACCTGATTGCGATGGATGTGTACTCACCTATCACAGGGCTCCCTCTAGTCTATCTTGCAGACCCACAATCACACGTACTTACCCCAGGAGTATATCCTTATATGGTTCCATTTGTCTTACCTCATTGTAAGTCGATTTAGTATGTTTATTGCAGAAAATGTATATCAATAACAGCTTGTAACAGATAACGGTAAACAGACTCTACAAAAACCATGTAATAGTTACTCTTATCTTTGCTAATGGATCAAGGGTGGAAGTGATTTACGGAATGGTTGTTAAAGACACATAACATACCAATACCGAGGGTAGCATGCGTTAAGACACGTACTTCTTTTCCTGTTTTTGTTAACATTATTATAATATACTTCACGGTCCATCAACAAGGGGGAGGTCATAGAGGCCAATTAATGGTCGACAAAAACAAATGCAAAATGAAAAATGACATCAAACAAAGTTAAAAGACAAACGTCAACTTGATTAGAAATGGTTATGGAGACTCATATGTTTTCAAAAAGAAAAACAACTTTCAGAGAACTTGTAGAGACAGTAATTGTTGGACTCGGCGCCTCCTTTGTTCGGGCGACTACTTTGTAGTTAGGATGCCATTCACCAAATAATGCTTTGCAGAATGTAATTTACTGTCTATGTATTGATTCCAGGGATTTTGCCAATGTGATCCTCAAAACATTGTTACAATTGCTTTAAAATCAGTAAAATGAAATTTAGAATCCACACGTGGTAGCAATAAAGCTGCTTTCGCGGTTTGCATTACCCAATACTCCCACATCGCTGGGAACCCAGAAAATATGAGGTCATATTTTGTAATAATGTTAATATATTTCAAATTGAAATATTTGTACAATTTCTGTTGTGAAGGCTAGTTGTCATAGTGAATACATAAGGATGCATAAGGTGTCTTTCTTTAACGACAGTTAAAATGTTATTGCTGGATTTTTTCACAATGAAACGGAAAAATCCCTCCGTCCTTTTCCTTTTTTACAACACACTTGAGAGCACCATTTGTGCACTGAGTCCATGTCTATTGATTGTCAAACATTACTGGGACTTAGTTGGGTGTATAACATATAAATGGCTTCTGAAAGTTCTGAAGGCGAAACGGCTCAGGCAATATCATTTATGAATAATGGGAACAAAATAAAGGAAATGAAGACGTGTGATATACAGGTTTGTAGCGTAAGCATGAACAGAATAAAGTCTTACATGATGATTTTGGACTGTAGTGGTAGAGAATACCCGACTCCGATTGACCATAGGAACTACTTCCCTTTCCATCCTTCTGTAACCGCAGTATATTCCTATAAGGTGAACATTGGTTCAAGATTTATTCGACATGTCAACATAACATATCATCCTAGCCAAAATGGTGCAAAATGAATCGGTATTAAACAATGCTGAAAAATTACAAAATGAAAATATAAATACCGTCCAGACTTCACGATTACAATGAGTAACTGCTATCACAATGTGCATGATTAACGACAATGTGTTATGACACTTGACGAATAGTTACAGGTGCTTTATAATAATCAAATGTGCTACGGCATTTGACTCGGTGTAATGAAAATGAGCCATTGTCAGGATGTTGAGTTATTAGTAGAATTTCAAACTAACTATTTTGTGCCTATCTTTAATCTGAAAACAATTATAAGGACATGAATAAAACAAGTGGAACATACGAAGATAGATATTGCATATTTTCAATACTTACATATTTTTATATCCTATACAGTAAATCCATTCATGATCTGCATACAGCTTACCGCAGTCATCCATTACACCATAGTGCGAGTACAAGACGTCAGCAACAGTTGTGTTGTGATGAATCCTGGTAATTCCCCGATAACGCGAATCAATACTGAATATATTGTCACCTATAATGGGACACATTTCAATACATTAACAAATATAATCATTATGTTAAGCTTGCCTGTTTCATGCATTGCTCAGTTTTACACGGTAACCTTAAAACACGTAGCATTTTGTTGAAATTGGTCATTCCTGAATAGCGAAGACGAAAATGAATACGCATAGAGCGAGCAAAAAGAAACAGAGGTATAATGGGAATGCATTGTTCACCTGGTATTTATCTTGCAACCTTAAATAAAGCTACAGGCGAAATATTATCCATGACTCTTTGTCATTCAAACGAACCTGCAAAGTATTTAAATACATTACACCCCTGTGACCTTGAAGGTCTAACCAGGTAATTCATTTGAACAAACTTAGCTCTTCTTTCCAGCTGGCGACTGGCCAAATATTATCACCTTATAACTTTTGAGGTGAATGTTTTCAACACAATTGATCCCCGTGACCTTGACACTCTGACAAAGTCATTCATTTGAACAAACTTGCATCTCTTTATCTGAGCATGTTACTGGACAAATACCAATACCACCAGTATTTGGATTATTCAGAATTTGTTTGAAGACTTTAACACATTTGACCCCAGTGACTTTGCAAGTGCCTTAAGGACATTCATTACAAAAACTGGTAGCCATTCATCACAGCATGCTACTTCCCAGATATTATTACATTGCGTATTTTGGCTATTGAGAAACAGCTTTTACAAGCTCATTATATTTGACCACTGTGACCTTGAAAGTCATTCCAGCATGCTACTGTCAAATATCATCCCCCATTTACATCTAGGATATTAAGATTAAAAAAAACATTTTTAACACATTTAACATCTGTGATCTTAGGAAAGTCATAGTCGTTCATTTGAACAAGTGTTTTCTTCATCCCAGCATGTAACTGGCCAATGTTCAGAAGTTGCTGGAAGATTTAAACAAAAAAGACCAATGCGAATTTAAAAGTAGGTCAAGGCATGCTACGTATCCTACTATGCCTTTAGGCCTTTCAGAAGAACCTGTTTGCAGATTTGTAGAACTTTCCACCAAGGTGATACTTAAAATTGGCCAAGGTCATTCATTTGAACCAGTTCATGAACCCTTTATCCTGGAATGCAAAACCTAGCCAATAATCATCACTCAGAGCTTGTTAGTAATCATAAAGAATCTGTTTTCAGATTGTGTAGAGTAACCCCTGTGACCTTGTCAGTGGGTAAATGTAATTTATTTGAATTAACCTGGTAGCACGTCATCCCAGCATGCTACTGGTAAATGCTCATGAACCCGGGCCTTTTGGTTGAGATAAAGTCGCTTAAAGAAAATGTTAAATCCGGAAGGAAGACGGGCAACGATATAACACTATGCCATTTGGGACAGCTGAGCTAAAAATACCAATTGCTAGGTGTTTTATCCTTCAAATAAAGTGATAAGAAAAGAACCAAAAGAAAGGACATTATCAAATATACCTCAAACCCTGAACCATTAACTTTATTAAGTCTATGATGAGGAAGATTAAACAGCCGCCATCTATGTAATAGTCCAAACTGTTGGTGAAGGTAAGATTCCGTTATTCTGTTATATTTTTGCTTGGTTCGTCAAAGGTCAAAATCACTTAAAATTACCCGGACGTCGCTTGCAACATTTCAGATTTAATCTGTGAAATATACAAACCGTTAAAAGTGAACATTTTGAAATAGCTGGATGATCTCCAAAAATCTATCTCTGCATCTCCATTGTAACGAACTCGTTTTATGACGTTGTGAAAATACGGTCTCCACCAATAAATTTCACTGCAAAACAAAGCAAAATATACAAAAGTACGTATTTCAAACTGAAACTATATCATAAATACAAACATAAATTTAAAACCAGTAGAAATAAAAATAAAGCTGAAATCCTAACTCACTTCCGTTCTGTATCTAGAACCAGTTCTGTTCCAACGCTTGTTCCAGGAACTACAACCACAAATTCAGAGGCGGCATCATCTAATCTCAGGGATACTATGTCATTGTCTAAATAGCCAAACAAAAGTCGATCATCTGAATCCAGGGCCGGATAACTCAACACGCTAGCTGAAAACAATAACGAAGAGATGACTAAGACAAGAGGCCCATGCTATCATTGTTGTTAAGATGTGACAAAAGCAAACAGTACATATAATTCCATATAATTCCAAATACGTCTTTTTGAACGTTTTTTTCTTAACGAAATGTTATCATACATATAATAATAAAACCATATGACTTAGTGAAATTAACATCCTCTCAAGGGAGAAATGGGTGAAAAAGGCATAAGTTATAGTTTTCAGAGATTATTTTTTTAATAAAACAATATGATTAACATCCTTGCAAGTCTATAGTACATTTTATCTCCTCTCCGTGGGCGAATGGGTGACCCAGGGTTTATACAATTCTAAATTTTGATAAAGCTACGTTGAAGATCCTTCCATTCAAGAAAAGCATTTGACTCAAGCATATCTTGGTCTGGAGAAGATTTGTTGAATATGACCACTTTTGGTCACGTCCTGAAGCGAGTCATGGTCTTCATGTTCATTACCTCGAATTGTGTCAGTAAAGCAAAGGGTTTCATTGGGAAAAAATAGATGAGACTCACTGTTTTTACGAATCTCTACATCTTTATCGTCCCATCTGCATCCAAAAAGTGATCCGGATTTGAAGTACATGAACTGGTCGTAAACAGAATCATATACCACATCTTTGTTGAAATCATTTCTACACGGGTTATTCAAGTTGACATAGCCACTCATTGTAAAAGGGTTCGTCTTCGATATTCCTTTTCTTGTTGCTTTTAGAAAGAAATCTGGAACAACTTGAGAAATGAAAAAGGAAATGTACGAATGTTATATAATATATACTAGTCGAAAATGTTGTTATAGTCTAAAACAGCTAAAAACCATTACACGACAATATTTTCCACTAGAAAGGTTAATGTATTTCCGATTGCTGCTCCCCGCCTGACGAAACTAGTAGCCATAGCGTGCACGATCTTGTTTTTGAAATATGATTGCTTCGTCAGTTGGTAAATTAGTTTGATAACATTGTATTTTGAACCGGATGAAACCACAAAAAAGTACGAGTCACGGAATATGTTTGAGGGAACAGTGTTGCATACGATCATAAATGATTCAAAATACATTTCAACCCTTTCCTTAACATCAACGAGTTCACATTGCATTACATTATCAAACTCTGTCTTATGCCTTCGCCGATAAAAAAGAACTGTTATTGTTAATGTCAATCTCAAATAACTGATGTTTTCATGTCGAATGAATACAGGTACACGTTCCCAAGCATAACTTTACAACTATGTTAAATAATATATAACTAACCATAGCCACTTTTACCTGTCAAGTTGACGTTTGTCTTTTACCTTTACTATCGTTTATTTCATTTCCTTTTACATGTTTTATCTCTGGTCGTTTATGCAGTGGGACATGGATCGTGTAATTGACAACGGGGGTAGAATAAAAGTAAACAATACCCTTTTCTTCAGAACAATGGACTCCAGCTCTTTTGCATGTTAGTGAAGACAGGTAGCTGATTTCGCATTCGGATAACACATTTTCATCACCTTTGCAATGAAACTGAAACCACCAAATAGTATGTGCTTGGCCAGTAATAATGGTATTAGACATTGCTCTCGCTCCATTCCTGAAAATGATCAATGTGTGCATTATGCAAGGCTGAAACGTATAAATAATATGAGCATGTACGTTTAGGCTTTTATTGAAATTGTTTTGTTATTAGTGGGCTGAACAAGTTCGTGATAGATACATCATTATACAACACATGAAAAAACATTTTTAACAATTCACGACCTTTCAACAGCTAAGGTCATTTAAGGACGTACCTCCATGTATCTTTTGTTTGCGTGAATGTGTGCTAGATGCAGGGTATGGTATGTTGATGTATTTGTCTCCTTGTGATAGCGCGAATCTGATGACGATTTCATAGTACTATCTCACTGAAATATCATGCCGAAGACACACAGGAAATTATTCCGCCCGGCCACATTGTACTGACAACGGGTGAACCAGTTGTTGCCATAACACTTATTCTTAACGGTTCTTAGTACCTAACAACAACCATTTTCAAGGACTTTGGTATGTCTCGTACTGGGGACAGACCACATTGCTTTCTTCATCAAGGCAAACTTTCAACAGCTAAACATGAGGTTTGGTTCGGTTTGGTTTGGTTTAGTATTGTTTAACATAGTATAATATAGCAATTAAGCTACTTGTACAAAATATAAACTGATATTTTTTATTTCAAATTTTAACCTTTTAAAGATTACTTTTGATGTATGTTTTGAGTTTCTTTTTGACATTTTATGCCAAAGTGCGACAAGTGGCTGATAAATCAAACAAGCACAACAGGTCAAATACAATGTAGTAAAGTGGGATTTGCCTATTGTGTCGTTTACAGCATCTGAATGCATAAATAGATACCTCCAATTTATAAATGAATACAAACCCTGAATGGCCTAACATACGACAGGCCACAGCAGCATCTGCATCATCCCAACCATCCGAACACAGTATATGCCAGTCTACACCGTTGGACAATTCAATTGTACCTTCGTTCGATTTCAGGCCAAACAGAGTGACATAGAAATTCTGGCCTGGATATAGCATGTAATGAGTTAACATTCAATTATACATTAATTTGTACTTAGCTCTATTCCCAGCAAGGCTAAGTTTATATCTTAAACTAAAAAATATTTTATATGTTTGGAAAGTAAAAGTACAAGGAAAAGATTGGTAATGTCGACCAGTTCTGGTCTTACTTTTTATAGTTTGGTTCCTTACACTATGACCACACAATAACCTGTCTATGTCGTTATTGTTGTTAAAAAATGAACGTTTACTAAGGTTATTCGATGGCAGTCGCACATGGAAATATCACCGGAAGAAGATAGGATGACACGTTGTCGGTTTCTTTTATAACTTTTTGAGAGAATAATATTAAAAACTAAAATTTAAAAAAATTATAGATATACATATATATTGAAACCCCCCCCCCCCCTGCAGTACACCTTAGCTGTAAGGAAATAATGGAATATTTGGTCAGGTATTACATCAAGAACGATATCCCTTCTCAACAATCTACCCTAAAATCAGCCAAGCGTGACGATGTCATTGTGTGACTTGGTGAGCTTCTTTAGTCCAAATCACGCGTCATGATCAAGCCAAGCCGGAGTTTTTCAAACAAATAATCTCAACGGATACTCAGTTCAGTCACATTAATTTTCCACGTTGGCATTTTGATTTCGCCATTGACCGAGATGCCACGCTTAACGTAAGTTCAGAGAGGTAGAGCAATTGCGATGTTGATGGATGGTTAACTGCCAACTGCTGTCGCACGGCAGTTTGGTGTTGGCCAGTGTACAATTAAACGTCTCTGTACACGTTTCCGTGCTACTGGGTTTAGTTTCCGATCGTCCCAGGAGCGGTCGTCCGCGTGTAACGACCGCACTACAAGACAGGGCGATTCGATTGTCGCTCTTATGCAACAGATTCAAGACTGCTGTAGCGACTGCGTCGCATAATTAGCTACTCATGGCAGAACAATAAGTGCTCAAACTGCTAGAAACCGCTTAAGTGCCGAGATAATCATTGCGCGCCGACCTTGTGTCGGGCCATCTCTAACACCACGGTGGCGGCAAGTGCGTCTTGACTGGATGCGCAGACATGGCTCGAATAGGTTTGGGATGCGTCGATGGAGGCGTGTGATGTTCACCGACGAGTCTAGAATCTGTCTGTATCGCTCTGACGGAAGGAAAAGGGTATATCGCAGACGCGGTGAGCGTTTCACCGACGCATGCGCGGTTGAACGCGATATTTTCGGTGGGGCTTCTGTAATGGTTTGGGGCGGCATCTCCCATGGAGTAAAATCCCCCTTAGTGGTCCTGGATCAAAACCTGAANGGGAATTGGAAAATGTCCCCCCCCCCCCCCCCCCCCCCCCCCCCCCCCCCCCCCCCCCNTTCGCGGTTATCCCACTTTGAATAACTACTGATGACACGAGTGACGTCACACAGACTTTCGTTTCTCTTCACTTCGTTTTAACAGTTTTGTTTCCTATGCCAAATACCAGCAGTTATATACCAAATTCCTTATAAATCGTAGTTTTTATAACCGTTTCTTTTTTTGTTCATTATATATAAATTAATCAGTGACCCAACTGTGGCAGGAACATTTTGTTCAAGCATCATGATTAGACGCCGATTTTAGTTGTAACATTTTCTTCAGGTTCGTAATTATCACAACCAGTAAGTTCCTCTATCACTTTTTTCTCCCTTCATATTATACAAGTAACGCAGTCAGACCGACATAACGTTAGTATAAAAGCATGCATTTGACGAATAGGAAATGAAATGAAGGGGAACTTACAAGAGGGTTCAAGGTCTGTGTTAGGTCCACCGTTATAATGTATAACTGTTTGGCTGTATTCATGAAACGGGCCGTGGTATCCGCCACATTTTCCGTTCTTTTCTAAGCGCAGGACACCACTAAAATGGTAACTTGTCTTGGTTTATATTCAGCATATTGTGGCATTCATTAAACATTTGATCAGAATATTTTCGTTCCATATACATGGTCCATAATAATTTATTGTGTCAAAAATGATTAATTTTAGGCCAATTTGGTCATGGTCAGTTTCAAGAACAGTCATCAAATAAACGAAAATATAAAATGTCAAAGCACTCTCAGCCACACCCAACTTGGACACACGCATACATGCACACAGCCAAACATGCACACACCAAAACATGCACAAACGCATACATGATCACTTACAAGTCACGAGTAGCTATAGTTAGTTATTTGTTTGGGGAAAGATCACCAATCTTTTTAGTTATCAAGAATTTTGGACGTAGTAATTGTTTCGAAAATAGATTTAATACTTGTTACATAATAATTAAATATGTAATGTTAACTAGGAAATTGAAAATGTACGTGATCGAGCCCTTTTTTAAAATTATAATTGTTGCAATTATCTAGTAGTGAATCGTTTGATCATAATGTTAGTAAGAATGTATAGGAGTCCCCAAAATGTACTGCACTTGAATTATAGACGATTGTAACTGTTTTACCTTTGGTAAACTTGTTCTTTTAAACAGTAAATCCAGTCTCCGACGACAAAAATCGTTGTACATGAAATACTATAGGAAAGTGTGTCATCAACAGCTGTATCACTGATGTTTTGTCTCCTTATTCCGGAAACTTTCGTATCAATCCAGAAGGCAAAGCCACCTACAAAATAATGATGATACATGTGGTCATTATCTTTGTAAAATATCAATCTGGAGGAATTCTTATGCATCGGGGTAAATAGAGATAGGGTATGTTGTTGTCCTTTCTCCTTGCGACAGCGCGGATGTGATGCCGACTTTATAGTGCTATATCACTGAAATGCCATACCGAAGCCACCCAACGCATCATTCCGTCCGGTCATATTATACTGACAACTAGTGAACCAGTTGTTCTAATTCCCCTAAATGCTGAACGCTCATCAAGAAATAACAACACTCATTTTAAAGACTTAGGTATGTCCCGGTCAGGGGATAAAACCCATTACCTTCATCACCTGGGCGAACGCTCAACAGTTAAGCAAAACAGGAATGTATTGCCAAGCAAGGTGCTAGGAAATAAAATGGTCGTCAGAAGTAGAAAGAAAGATATATATCCCAAATATTGCAATGGGTGCATCAGATTTATTTTGGTCGCTTTTGTATCCGAAAATAGAGGACAGAAAAGCAAATCACCAATTCTGCACATTAGGGTTCCCACTTTAGTCGGGTCATAAGATTCATGCAGTGGGTAACAGCAGGTGTATTCTCGTCGCGTTCCCTTACCTACAGGGGTGATGGTGACCGTCTTATTGTTGTGATGGTGCAGTTTGCTTGGTAAATATAACTTGTACGACCTTCCATATAACTTGTACGACCTTCAATATAACTTGTACGACCTTCAATATAACTTGTACGACCTTCACTATAACTTGTGCGACCTTCAATACAACTTGTACGACCTTCAATATAACTTGTACGACCTTCAATATAACTTGTACGACCTTCAATTTAACTTGTACGACCTTCAATATAACTTGTACGACCTTCAATATAACTTGTACGACCTTCAATATGTACTTGTGGTCAGTTGAATGTTGACTATGTTAGTTTGTATGCTTGGTAAGACTGTAGGCGACGAAAACACTAAAAGCAACATATGCTATTTTTGTTTTGATTACAAATTATCTCAATCTAAATTCAACAACAAGTACAATGTCTGTACTGTTAAATTTTAAACTTTCCTACCAAATCTCATACATATTTATTTTTGAAAATATCCAATAATTGGATAATAATAATAATAATAATAATAATAATAATAAACTTTATTTATTGAGGATACAAAACCTGTTTAGCAAAGCTAATCTTCCACAGGGTCCTCTGTTAGTAAAATTGGTTGTAAAAGACAAAGTAGTATCACATCAAATAAATGTACATAAAATAATTGTTGGTCTGTTGGTCTGTTGATATGAGTACATGATATGAAAAAAGGACGGATATTAACATAGGTATATAGGACTAAACGATCACCTTTTTGATCTATCAACACGATAATGGTATTCAATCTGAACAAGTTACAGAATAGAGAGGACACACATGGGTCTCAACAGGTCCTTATGACACGAAATGTCAGTAATGGGACAAAACAAGTACACAGCAATGCAATTCATGCGCACAGCAGTCTTAGCCGGTCACCAACACATTCTTCATTATCAAAATAAGTCTTAATGCGTTACTCGTTCAGCAACTGATAATGGTCTAAGGTGAAAACAGACACATCATTAAAATGTTGAGAAACAAATACTTGATAATCTAGTATCTAAAACAACTTACCTGAAATGACAATAGTAGGCACATCACCATTATTTGATATGGACGAAAAATAACTTCTTGACGTTCCATTATAATTTGCACGTTCTATTTGCCTTGTATGAAGGTTCACCCAATATAGTTCTCTGTAAATATATTAATTATACTTTCGATAAATTCCCTGTTCTTTACGATTACATCTTGAGGTTTGACAAAAATGGAAGTTTATTTTATATTGAATGTGATAATAGGAATTTCAAACGTTTACTTGAGTGTCATTCTCTGATCGAACATGAAAGTGTACGGAGTCACCTGTATCACGCGAGTTTTCTCCGAGTTCTCCAGTTTCTTTCGTCCTTAAGAACCCTTGTACGATATTATTCGGGATATCAACAATTATTATATTATGTTGATATAACTTGTTTCATATTTATTATAAATTTATTTTATTTTATTTCGTTCATTTAATCAGAGTTAGAGACAAAAAAGCCTTATTTAGCAATGACCTTATACAGAACAGCTTACTTGTTCACAGGATCAAGGGCTATCCTTGTTACGTTTGTTGTAGTGAGAACAATTGTCGGTTTTGTGGAATCGTCGTCTAATTTCAGTGTTGATATTACACCATCCAAAACGTAGAATAAAAGTCTGTCTTCATTGTCATAGGCGAAATGTCCAACAGAAACACGTGACGCTGCACAAGAGACATGTTCACATATTAAATAATCAAACAGTTTCTGCATTTTTAAGATAAATTAACATGGAAGCTGGAGGAGATAAAATCCGAAATAATAGCCGTTAAATCTGGCGCATACACATTAACTATATTTACGTCATAATAAATGCAACTCATAGTAAACGGTTTATAGGTTGCTATGACTTTAGCAGAGGGTATGTATACTTGTACCTCTGAACTCAGACTGATGACTGTAGCCCATGCCTTTAAAACAAAACCGTTACAAAAATAATCTGAGTTTCGGGATGAATATAAATTATTCTTCATTTAATGAATATATTAACTAGTTATCTATCTCCATACACTTTTAGTGAGTTACAGGTCTATTCTTATTTTCCTATTGGAAGTTGACTACACGTTAAATCCCACCCACGATTTGTGTCTTATATGTAACAGAAACTAACAAAATTAACCAGCAAGTGGTGAAGACATTCGATAATGGATTTAAGTATCATCTGCTCTTGATTCTTACCAAATCTGTATAGCTCGGTTTTCACGCCTCCAAAACTGCAGCCCCATATAGATGAGTCCTTAAAGTACACGATCCGGTCATACATTGGGTCATACACAACTTCACCGGGAACATCAGTAAAACAGCTAGAATTCGTATTTACTGTACCACTCATTGTTATTATGTTCTCTTTTGAAATTGCACCGTCCCTTGTCGATCGCAAAAGGAAGTCACCATATCCAAAAGCTAAAAGGAAAAAAATAGTATAGTATATTTAATAACATGATAACAAGATAAGAAAACTGAATTGTGAAAGCCTGCATATTGCTATCTGACACATGTCTTCATTATTAAAGCTTCTCTTAAGGATTCCTGGCTAGTGACAAACTTTTAGCAAGCATTGGAATAGTTTGGTGTTATTATATGGCAGTATAAAGGCCGAATGCAACCAGCATAGTATGTAAAGCTGTCACATCATACCGAGATCGGGCTTACCGATTGTTCCGATTGCTGCACGTTTAGCAAGGTTTGGTTTGGGTTTGTTTTGTCCTATTAACAGCTAAGGACGTGCCTCTATATGTGCTGCATAAGCATACATGACTTCATGCGTGTCGGAGACAGGTGTAACGATGTACTTGCCTTCTTGTGATAGCGCATCTGATGCCGACTTTGTAGTGCTATCTCACTTAAATGCTATATCGAAGGCGTTTTGCACAGAAGTCCGTCCGGTCACAGTCTACTGATAACGGGTGAACCAGTTGTTGCCATTACCCTAAATGCTGAACGTTAAGCTGGGAATAACAACAGCCTTTTGTTAGGACATTGGTATGTTCCGACCTCCTCAACTGGGCAAACGTCCAACATTAAAGCCAAAAATGAGGTGTTTCCAAGCAAGGCAAGGAAATAAAAGGTAGTTAGAAGTGGAAAGAAAAATAAATATCCAAATTGTTGCAATGGGTGCAGCAGATTTATTTTGGTCACTTGTGTGTCCCCAGGTAGAGATCATAAACACAAATCCCCAATTCTGCAGGCAACCAACATCATGAGTATTCTCTTCTCGATCCCCGGCCTGCAGATGTGGTTAAGCAAGGAATAACAACAACCGTTTTAAATAAGGACTTACTTTCGGGTTGATATTTCTACAAGAAGTGATATATTGCATCAATCTCTTAAACCTGAAAGTCTCATTTTTGGCTAATTTTCCCCATAAAGATTACTAATATATCTGATTATCTTTTAAAACCAGTATCCTATAACCAGACTAAGCCATGCCTCCGTGCGTTAATTCTTCAGGTCGGAGATCAATACAAGAATATGCCTGCTGATACTTACTGCGTGGTCGTAAGAAGCGACTAAATTGGGCAACCTGCTACAGAATTGGGAAACTGCACATAATCTAATCCCCATTTCTGCAGGGGGAAACAGCAGGCGAATTGTTACTTCGATCGACGACCCGCAGGGGTAGTACAGTAGGATTACGCATGAGTTTTCATTTCAGTATATTTATTGAAGTGAACAAACATCCCGACACAAATATGCAATACCAACACTCCTAAGCAATAAATAAATGTATGAATCCTCTAAGGATTTTGACAAAGTCAATAGTCATATATCCTCGTGTCTGAGGCCATACTCGAGGTGTTTTTTTGTCGAAGGAAGTAACATGTCTGCATTCGGTGGGAGTAGGGTATATAAACAAAAACGTAATTTATATCTACAAAATACACCTGCAATTGGCATAGTGCACGTACTACGGAGTTTATTAAAGATTTAAATACTGTCAGTGCAGTAAACCATGCGGTTATAAAGATGTTGAACACTTCGTTTAAAAACTGCCAACAGTCAGATTTGCAGGTGTTTGTGAATTATACAAAAGGCTCATGTGCCTTAACGGTCACCTGAGCTATAAACTAGACACCCAGGGGAGAGAAATATTTACCGTACCATGCGCCTAACGACCCCCAGTATATTCATAGTAACGGTAACCTTGACTTTGAAATCTTATAAAACCCCTATTGCACATCTATATAAAGTGTTTTAAAAAGAATAATGGGCTGTGCTGGCTCTTTCTTTCTCATATCTAATCAAGTTTCCTACTAAAATTACCAAAACATACCCGAAAGTGATATTTCCTTATACTGTAGTGAATTTTACCCTGCGTATGAGGAGAATGTGTGACGCAGGGAAATGAAATTGATTATATTGATAAAGCATCCACTGAGAAAGAAGATTTTGGAATTTTAAACCATTTTTGTAGGGAAATTGCTATTTCTCATTATGATATTTTTGATTATGCTTCTTAGTGTTGTTTTTTACGGTACTCAGGTTTGTGATGTGAGGAAGAGCCATTTCTATGATTTGACCTAGATTTATATGACAGTTTTTAGGGTGTTTTTTATGATGACTATTGTAAATTATTCATTCTGTTTTGCGTAACCTGTTCAAATGTGCATACAGACTTAACGTTAGAATGTGACCGGACAGAATACTGTGCTGGGTGTTCCCGGCACTGTATTTTAATAAGATAACACTATACAGTCGGCATCATATCACAAGAGGCCATTACACAAACATATCCTGCCTCCAGCACACATGCACGCCTTAAACTAATTAGTTGTTAATTGTTAATAGGAGGTTAAACAAAATATAATCAACGTTAGACATATCGCAGCCATGATTGAGGCATTGAAGTGTAGATTTACACAGGTCACTCACTAGCAGCCGGCTTATAAACAACACTGATGATAATGCAATTGTTTTTAATAAAGCATATCGGAAACTTGTTCTCATCATCACCCTTTATGCGACAATAACAGCGACATAAGTACCTGCTTTATAATGATTCAAGAAAGACTTAAGCTAAGCATATACTATGATAATGATAAAAACTAGAACTGCAAGTCACTGATTTAATAGTACTCGAGAAAGCATGTAACATCAATTTTTAATTAGAGAAGAAAAAGATATGATTTTGACATGTCAAAATTGGAATCATAGAAGGCTTTAACTACTATCGAAACAATGAATATCAAAAATATATCACAAACACAAGTGCCTAGGCTATGGAACACGTATACGAAGATTCGTAAAATATCGATCAAGAAGGGAAGTAAAAGTACAACGGACACAGCAACAGAAAATCGGTCAATACTCCAATCGCGCCAACATACCCTATGTCCGGTTCACACACATGGAGGCACGTCCTTAAATGACCTAAGCTGTTAATAGGACGCTAATTTTTTTTTTAAATATAAAACCCAACTATTAATCCAATCGAAATAGTAGAAATTCAAAGTAAATGACATGCGTACGACTATGTATGATACTTATCATTCAGGTATGAAAGGATATATGACGAAACGGTTTATATGTCATTACGTACCGGGATGTGACGGGCACCTGACGCCTACTGAGGTGTTGCCTGTTGTGGAATTCAACCTGGTGGTCTCACATTCTGACAGAGATGTTTCATTACCATTACAACGGAATTGAAACTCCCAAACAGGGCGTGAAAGGGTATGCAGCACAGAGCCGAAAGTTGCTGTCGCTTTCGCTCTGTAAAGAAAATAGCACAACTTTATTGTTCTGATATTATTTTGTCAATGTTTTGTTTAAACTGCTTTAGAGTTTGTTAAACCCTAACTAACAAGATAAAACCAGACTACAAGCAACTCGATGATGGATTTCCTAGTAGATGTGGTTAATTTGTAGGTACTAACAAATACATTTTGAGCTTATGACAGTACCACATCGCTAAGACGTTGATACAATATTCATAAATGTACGACAGCTACTTTTAAGTAGTCATCACAAAAGTAGGTAGGAAGGTTAACCAGCAGAGAGGTTAAGTCAAAGAAACTTACCCAGAATACCCCAGCGTACGACACGTCACTTCCGCGTTCTTATCATTCCATCCTTGATGATGAAGAATAAACCAGGATAAACCATCTGATAACTCTATTGTTCCTTCGAACGAGTTTGGTCCGTATAAATTGGTGTAATATTTCTGACCTGTCGACAATAAAGATAATGGTCTGCTTGTCAAATGTGACTATTCTATAATTATTAGTTTATTTTAAGAAACTCATCTACAAATTCATACGTGACATGGTACCAAATTATTTGGCGATAGTGTAAGGATTGTTAACGATGAAGATATTTCAGTGACACAACAACTGTTCTTCATTTTGTTATAACTATTTTTCAGTATCTGGTGCTGAAAGGTGAAATAGTCTACCGAATGCAAAAACAGTGCCTGTGCATTCTGTGATGATTATAACTGTGAATAGGTGATATTCTACATATATACGTTATTGTGTTTACTGTATATATAGTGCCAGTGCATTATGTGATGATTATAACTGTTTTTATATCAAGACCCAATGACACATCTAGTGCTGCAGTGTACTTATACTTCCGAGTTGAGGGACCAAGTATGGTGCTGTATAATTAATATCAAGGATATACTGTTTAGTGTCTATTTACACTCTCTCCAAGATCTTGAGATATTACACATAATGATTGGAGTAAATATAACCTACAACATTAGTGAGGAATAGTTGAATGATTTCAGGATAAAATCCATCATTTATGTGTACAAGATGTGTAAACTATACTATACTTAATGTATATGATAGTTATGATTAAAAGCTAAATACATACATATCTAATGTGGAATGTTCTATAAGTTATGTGTACTTAGCAAAAGTTATCGCATTAGATACTATATGAACTATGCTACATATGTGGGCCGGTAACACCTCGCAGGTAGGGATATCCCCCACCCTTATGTGATCCAGACCCACAACTGTATCTTCCGCGTTTATAGTTAGTATGTTATAATAAATGTCTCTTTTGCATGTATTAACAAATACAACGATACATTGATTTATATGCATAGTCATGTATAAGTATTAAGTACCACTTATCAATACAATTTATTATAATTTACTTGGCTTGAGCAAATCAATTTGCAATCTGTATATTGAAACTTTTTAGGTTTACTCTAAAATATTTTATTAGTTTACACCTTATATACACATCCCTATATATAAAATGTATATTTATGTAATGCATATTATGTATTCGTGTATATATGTACCAAATACTATGTATATATGTTCCACATTACTTTGTAATCTTCATCTTTGGAGGCAATACAGAGAATAATAATAATAACTGTGTGAATATGTGATATTCTACATATATACGTTATTGTGTTTACTGTATATATAGTGCCTGTGCATTCTGTGATGATTATAACTGTGTGAATATGTGATATTTTACATACTGATTTACGTTATTCTCTTTATATATAGCAGTCATTTTACTATAACCATTTTGTTGTTTTACTATGAAGATGAGATTGTGGATCAGTACTTTATACAAGACTTATATGCCTCTATCAATTGGAGAAGCCAATTGCTAAAGATAAATTATTCTCATCAAATAAAGTTTCTTATAATTTGATATGCATGCATTCAACCATATATAAGGAAAACACCAACATGAAGTCTTAAAATTGTCTCTTAATGTTAAGTTCGAAATGAAATACTAATAATTGTAACACATGTGGTCTCATAATAGAGGTGGGCGCATGGAAAGATCGACGCTATTATAACCTAAAGAAATTCGTGAAGATAAGTTCAGATATGATGATATTATGGAGCAAAAACAAAAACCCAGTTATAAAAAAATGACATACAACAGAATGATCTGAAATGTCGAAATAGTACCGCGTGACATGTGATAAACATGATAAATAATGTTTAATGAGTTGAAACGAAATGAAATAGTCCAAACCCAATCAAAACTGTTATCTATACAAGTTAAACATGTTGATTATAATGTTTTATTTACAGTTTTCAATCGATCACCTTCAGGCAGGGAACACGAATATATTTCTAATACAAACAGACTTTCAAATGTTAGTAAGCAGTTCGGTAAGCCAATGACAGCTCGAAGTCGCTATACTTACCAGACACGTGTACAGCGGTCCAAATTGTACCTAGAACAATCACAAAGTGCCACCATCTCAGAGAGGTATCCATGTCGATTGTGGAAAACAACACTCTCTACATTATTTAACTTATATACTTGCAAGTTTTATTTAGAAGTGAGGTACATTTGACGTCACATGACAACAGTTTTCAAAAGCTGTAAATCCATCAGGAGTGTAGACGACGATGGCACGGCAAATACATATTCGTGTAGTGTTTTATTGGTGGACAGAAATAATTCATGATTTATTTATGATGGATCGAATGTTATGAAAAGGTTCTCCTGATGTGTACTGTTTAAGTGGTAGGGAGTCGCACAAATACTTTACTGTTTTCTAGAAACCACTTCTATCTATCTTGCTCTTAAAGACGTAGATTATACGATATATCGAAGCCAAGCAATTATTCTGATTCTCTATCTGTTCTTCAGACAGTGTAACAAATAACTTACTCTCTCGACTGTTTTAGGTAGGTGCTGCTCTCCAAAGTCTTGTCTCGTGTTTTGAAAAGTTTACCGTAATTAAGAAAGGTACGGTTAATTTATATTAATCGTATTCTGTATGTGGAGCTGTGCTGAGATGTTTTGAAGCTGTTATCTAGAATAAATGAAATCATTGCAAAGTTAAATCATTATAAACATTACCTCAGGTCAGTGATTACAGATAAGGGAGCATTACACGTCTGTATGGTTAATATGAGAGCAATAGTTAATGTCTAGTCAATGAAATGAGGAATGGACTTGATAATAGTGGTTTTGGTGCAGTAAATCTAGTCAAAATCAAGATTGCAATGTTACATCATGAATATGTGAAATTAAATTCAGTTCAGTTATAACAATCAGCTATGTGAATATGACATTGTCTCATAGAAATAGTAATGTTTCTTAAATATTTCATTGGTGTCAAATATAACGTTGAGGAAATGTCATCAGATATATTGTACAGGAATGTAACTTTGATAACCTGTCATTAGATATATTGTACAGGAATGTAACTTTGATAACCTGTCAGTAGATATATTGTACAGGAATGTAACTTTGATAACCTGTCAGTAGATATATTGTACAGGAATGTAACTTTGATAACCTGTCAGTAGATATATTGTACAGGAATGTAACTTTGATAACCTGTCAGTAGATATATTGTACAGGAATGTAACTTTGATAACCTGTCAGTAGATATATTGTACAGGAATGTAACTTTGATAACCTGTCAGTAGATATATTGTACAGGAATGTAACTTTGATAACCTGTCAGTAGATATATTGTACAGGAATGTAACTTTGATAACCTGTCAGTAGATATATTGTACAGGAATGTAACTTTGATAACCTGTCAGTAGATATATTGTACAGGAATGTAACTTTGATAACCTGTCAGTAGATATATTGTACAGGAATGTAACTTTGATAACCTGTCAGTAGATATATTGTACAGGAATGTAACTTTGATAACCTGTCAGTAGATATATTGTACAGGAATGTAACTTTGATAACCTGTCAGTAGATATATTGTACAGGAATGTAACTTTGATAACCTGTCAGTAGATATATTGTACAGGAATGTAACTTTGATAACCTGTCAGTAGATATATTGTACAGGAATGTAACTTTGATAACCTGTCAGTAGATATATTGTACAGGAATGTAACTTTGATAACCTGTCAGTAGATATATTGTACAGGAATGTAACTTTGATAACCTGTCAGTAGATATATTGTACAGGAATGTAACTTTGATAACCTGTCAGTAGATATATTGTACAGGAATGTAACTTTGATAACCTGTCAGTAGATATATTGTACAGGAATGTTACTTTGATAACCTGTCAGTAGATATATTGTACAGGAATGTAACTTTGATAACCTGTCAGTAGATATATTGTACAGGAATGTAACTTTGATAACCTGTCAGTAGATATATTGTACAGGAATGTAACTTTGATAACCTGTCAGTAGATATATTGTACAGGAATGTAACTTTGATAACCTGTCAGTAGATATATTGTACAGGAATGTAACTTTGATAACCTGTCAGTAGATATATTGTACAGGAATGTAACTTTGATAACCTGTCAGTAGATATATTGTACAGGAATGTAACTTTGATAACCTGTCAGTAGATATATTGTACAGGAATGTAACTTTGATAACCTGTCAGTAGATATATTGTACAGGAATGTAACTTTGATAACCTGTCAGTAGATATATTGTACAGGAATGTAACTTTGATAACCTGTCAGTAGATATATTGTACAGGAATGTAACTTTGATAACCTGTCAGTAGATATATTGTACAGGAATGTAACTTTGATAACCTGTCAGTAGATATATTGTACAGGAATGTAACTTTGATAACCTGTCAGTAGATATATTGTACAGGAATGTAACTTTGATAACCTGTCAGTAGATATATTGTACAGGAATGTAACTTTGATAACCTGTCAGTAGATATATTGTACAGGAATGTAACTTTGATAACCTGTCAGTAGATATATTGTACAGGAATGTAACTTTGATAACCTGTCAGTAGATATATTGTACAGGAATGTAACTTTGATAACCTGTCAGTAGATATATTGTACAGGAATGTAACTTTGATAACCTGTCAGTAGATATATTGTACAGGAATGTAACTTTGATAACCTGTCAGTAGATATATTGTACAGGAATGTAACTTTGATAACCTGTCAGTAGATATATTGTACAGGAATGTAACTTTGATAACCTGTCAGTAGATATATTGTACAGGAATGTAACTTTGATAACCTGTCAGTAGATATATTGTACAGGAATGTAACTTTGATAACCTGTCAGTAGATATATTGTACAGGAATGTAACTTTGATAACCTGTCAGTAGATATATTGTACAGGAATGTAACTTTGATAACCTGTCAGTAGATATATTGTACAGGAATGTAACTTTGATAACCTGTCAGTAGATATATTGTACAGGAATGTAACTTTGATAACCTGTCAGTAGATATATTGTACAGGAATGTAACTTTGATAACCTGTCAGTAGATATATTGTACAGGAATGTAACTTTGATAACCTGTCAGTAGATATATTGTACAGGAATGTAACTTTGATAACCTGTCAGTAGATATATTGTACAGGAATGTAACTTTGCTAACCTGTCAGTAGATATATTGTACAGGAATGTTACTTTGATAACCTGTCAGTAGATATATTGTACAGGAATGTAACTTTGATAACCGCTACTCTAGAAAGCCTGTTCACTTTGGGTTTGTTTGAACCTATCCTGCTCATATGTTACTCTAATAAGCCTGTTCATAGGGGCCTGATGATCAATCAATGTTGGTATGTTTAGACCTATCTTTATGTCTTGTTTGGTGGTGGTCCACACATAGGCACTTTTAATTAATCATAGTTGGTACATTGTATATCTGGACCTAATGTCTTACATTTCATTATATTCTATACAGTAAATCCACTTATGATCTGCATACAGCTTACTGCAGGCATCCATTACACCATAGTGCGAGTACAAGACGTCAGCAACAGTTGTGTTGTGATTGATCCTGGTGATTCCCCGATAACGCGAATCAATACTGAATATACTGTCACCTATAATGGGACACATTTCGATACATTAACAACTATGATCATTTATGTTAAGCTTGCCTGTTTCATTCATAATTTTACGCGATAACCTTAAATCACGTAGTATTTTGCCGAAATTGCTTATTCCTGAATAACTAAGAAGAAAAAATGAACACACATAGAGAGAGCAAAATGAAAACAGGCATGTGTCGCTCACATGGTATTGATCTTGTAACCTTAAATAAAGCTACAGACGAAATATTATCTATGACTCTTTCTCATTCAAACGAACCTGTAAAGTATTTAAATACATTTGACCCCTGTGACCTTGAAAGTATTATCATGGTATTCATTTGAACAAACTTAGCTCTTCCCAGCTGGCGACTGGTAAAGTATTATCCCTTATAACTTTTGAGGTGATTGTTTGTAACACAATATATCCCCGTGACTTTGAAAATCTTGTGCATGTTTCTGGACAAATATCAACACCACTGTTCTTTGGGTATTCAATATTTGTTTGATTACTTTAACACATTTGACCAAAGTGGCCTTGCCAGTGGGTTAAGTTCAATCATTACAAAAGTGGTAGCCACTCATCCCAGCATGCTACTTGCCAAAAAGCATTACCTTGGTATTTTGGCTATTGAGACGCAGTTGGTTAATCATTTCCTTATATTTGACCACTGTGACCTTGATAGTATTTCCATAATGTTCTATGTCCGATGTAGCCGAATGTGTAACGCATTTGTCATATCTTAATAACATACCTATGTATATATCAATTTTGTTAACAATATGTCGTTACCATTTAGTTCGACATATACACTTCGATTGAATCATGTCAACTAATCTCCCTACACGTGTACAGTACAACTAATCACTCTTCACGTGTACAGCACAACTAATCTCCAAACACGTGTACAGTACAACTAATTTCCATACACGTGTACAGTACAACTAATCTCCCTGCACGTGTACAGTACAACTAATCTCCCTGCACGTGTACAGTACATCTAATCTCCATACACGTGTACAGTACAACTAATCTCTCTACACGTGTACAGGTCAACTTATCTCTCTACACGTGTACAGTACATCTAATTTCCATACACGTGTACAGTACAACTAATCTCCAAACACGTGTACAGTACAACTAATTTCCATACACGTGTACAGTACAACTAATTTCCATACACGTGTACAGTACAACTAATCTCCCTGCACGTGTACAGTACAACTAATCTCTCTACACGTGTACAGGTCAACTTATCTCTCTACACGTGTACAGTACATCTAATCTCCATACACGTGTACAGTACAACTTATCTCCATACACGTGTACCGGTCAACTAATCTCCCTACACGTGTACAGGTCATTTTATCTCCCTACACGTGCACAGTACAACTAATCTTCAAACACGTGCACAGTACAACTAATCTCTCTACACGTGTACATTACAACTAATCTCCCTACACGTC